AGAGAGAGATAGAGATATCCTGTCCTGAAGACCTTTCTTCAAGTGCACAGCCCAGAGTTTGTCCAGACAGACTGTAGTCGCATGTACAATAACATTTGTGACTTAAGGTGCTGAGTAAAGGATGCTATGAAAATAGGAGCTGAAGGGTCAGGATAAGGCTGTGACAAGCTTCCAGAGAAAAGGATGGGTGACAGCAGCAGTCAAAACCCTGACCATGTGTGTACTACACCACTTGCTCAGTCCCACTTTTTGTTGGTCCAACCTCTGGGTCACCTTGTCCTTAAATTTGCTGGTCTAAGCAATGACCACATGCTTTGTCTCATAGTCTATTCAGTCTCCATCCTTCCAAACTGTTCTCATTTCAGGTCTTGTGTTTTCTGGCAGCCAGAAAACACAGAGCCAAATGGAGTATAACACTTAAAATCTTTTTTCAGTTTATCACTCTGCTTTACAGCCTTTGTGTTCCTCCTCTCTCAGGTCACTTCCATTTCTGTCCCTCTGCAGTGTCGTCGTCTTTTTGGATTGGTCACCTTCTCTGCTGGGAACTCTGCATGTAATGACTCAGAGATTTTTGTCTCTGAACAAAAAACAAAACAAAAAACAAACAAAAAAACCCCTTTTTCCAGGTTTTCCTCTTCAGGCCCTTTTGCTTGCATCTGATGAGGCTGGTTGTAGTAGTCCAAGGTAAACTTGGAAAAGCTTGATAACTCTGTCAATTCCTTCAGTACCAAGAACTGCCACGTGTAACACCTGCCTGTGGTAATTAACTCTTTGAAGTCATGTGGCAAGCAGGATGATGGTGAACAATAAACAGCTACAGTGACTATCCAGTGTCAGGATCCAAACAGCCCCCGCTTTCTCTGTCGTGCCTGGGACAGTGAGATCTGGCTCAAGTGTGGGGAAAATGATCCCGGGACTGAGTTACAGAATTGAAGAGATTGTTAAATAGGATAGACTATGTGCTTTTTTTCCTGAACAGCCTTTGTTCAAATGAAATCACTTTTGAGGAGGAAGGAGGACTCTGAGATGACACTGGATTGGGACTTGTGTTCAGTCCTCTCCTTACTCCCTCTGTCTTATTTGCAATATGGGGATGAAAATAGTTCCTTTCTCTCCCTTTTTGTCTGTCTTTTCTATTTTGATTTCTATTTGTCTGCTTGTCCACACAGAAGCACCCACCGTAGTCTGAGTTCAATCTCAGCTGAGGCCTCTGAGTGTGACTATGTAAAGGAAATAAGAAAAATTAATATGATTAGACCAGAAATGGTGTTCCCTGAAGAAATCTCTTGGATGTTTTGGAGACAGAGCTACAGAAATGAGGCCATCACTGCTGCATTGATTCTCATTCTGTGTCCTGTTTTGAGGCTCCCCACAACTAAACTCCTCCTCCTAAACCCTTATCTCACTGGATTTTGCAGGACGCCTACTCTGAAATCGCCTACCTTTTTGCTGAGTTTTTCCGAGACCTTGACATCGTCCCATCTGACATCATTGCAGGCCTGGTTCTTCTGCGCCAACGGCAGCGGGCAAAACGCAATGCTGTGCTGGATGAGGTGGGTGGAGGAGGCACCTCACTTTGCACCAAGGCAGTGGGTATCTCATTTGGCCTCTGACTTACCTGCTACTCTTCTGTGAATCATTGTGTGAGAACTGCATGTCTCTGCGCACCTTGTTTCTGTTGTGTGGTGGGTTATTGCCAGTCACTAAGCTGTGAAATACTAACTTTTTAGCAGCTTTTCTGAGATTTGCAGAGGGTCCAACTGACATTGAGTCAATCTTGAAACGTATCCTTTTTTTTTAGGCAGGTGATGCATATGGATTGTGTTCTTGACCCCAAATGGGCAAATGCCTTGAAGAAGGGGGCAGTTGCTTAAAAGTGAATGGAGAGATTACTCTTCCCCTTATAGTTATGTAAAGAAGACTCTAGCATCTGGATGAAACTATAGGAGGAACTTTAGGAGAAAATTCCTAAATTCCCAAGCAATTACTGCCTTTGAGATTTGCAGATTGCCAACCCAGTAGAAAAGGTTGTGTTCAGACGTGAGGTTCAGATGCTAGTGATCAGATGAGGTGGAGATCAGAGCCAGATCAGGAGACAGGTGAAGGTACTTGCATGCTATTTTGTCCTGGGTTACCTAGGGCTTTCTGTTTCTCAGGCGTAGATCTTGTGTCCTGGTGACATGGAGAAGAATAATTTTTATGTATGTTTGTGACTTACAGGCAAACAATGACATTTTAGCTTTTCTGTCTGGGATGCCAGTGACCAGGAACACAAAGTATCTGGACCTGAAAAATGCGGTAAGTCACTGGACTGTAATCTTGCAAACTCCCCATGCTTCCACATGTAGCCTATCATCTTTTTCTCAGTGTTCTCTCTTTTTCTCCTCTCTGCCCTTACCCCTTTCTGTAATAGTTAAAGAAATGAAAGGTTATAACAACAGATTATGATAACAATGCTAGCTTTCTTGGAGGTTTTTTTTGGACTTCAGAGCACTTTTAAAGCATTATCTATCTCTTCTCCACTTTGAGGGAGGTAGTAGTAGTTCCACTCAGATGGAGAAAAATGGTGTGAGGTTTCTCCAAAGCCAGAGGTTGCAGCCAGGAGAGTCATGCAGAGCTCCATATGGAGATACCACCAGCAGAGCTCATGAAGCCTGACATGCCGGGCTCCATCTTGATTAGAGCAAGGAGCTCCCTGGAGTGCAGTGGCGTTCTGAAGATGAAAATGGCTGTGGTCTGTTCTGTTATGTGTAAATTAAGCCTGGCTTTTCTCCTAGCTCCATGTTGTCTTTGCAGCCTTTCACTGGGCAAACTTATTTTCATCTCCCTTGATTAGATGATAACTGTTGAAAGAGAGAGACTGACCAGATCCAAGTATCACTGATTAGAGGTGATTCTGTGATTAACATGCTTGTGGCTGTGCTCTACTGTGCTGCATTTAAAGCTAACATCCTGCTTATATTCAGAGTGTGACTCATTCTGAATAGGTGTATGTGGGGAGAGATATCAACATAGCTTAAGGAAGATAACACTGAGGTATATGGCCTCAGAATGGCTTACTGGCTTTACAGTCTTCTCTCTGGGTATCTTACTTATGGCCTGTGACTATGTGGAAGCAGTATGTTTAGGCATCTCATCTTCTTGAGACTTCACAGAAGCACAGACGCACAGAAGAGTTGAGGTTGGAAGGGCCCTCTGCAGCTCATCTAGTCCAATCCCCCTGCTCAAGCAGGGTCCTCTACAGGCTATTTCCCAGGATCGCCTCCAGGCGGGTTTTGAATAGCTCCAGCGAAGGAGACTCCACTACCTCTCTGGGCAACCTGGTCCAGTGCTCAGTCACCCTCTCCGGAAAGAAGCTTGTCCTCAGGTCCAGATGGAACTTCCTGGCTTCCAGTTTCTGCCCGTTGCCTCTTGTCCTGTCACTGGCCACCACGGAGATGAGCCTGGCCCCCCATCCTCGCGACAGCCTCCCTCCAGATACTTGGACGCGTTGATGAGATCGCTGCTCAGTCGTCTCTTCTCGCAGCCTTTCTGCAGAGGAGAGATGCTCCAGTCCCCCCCTCCCCCCATCCTCTTTGTAGCCCTCCACTGAACTCGCTCCAGTAGTGTCGTGTCTCTCTCTCTCTCTCGTACTGGGGAGCCCAGAATTGGAGCCACTACTCCCCATGTGGC